GGATGTACTCACACCCCACCACAAAGGCCTTGGAAGCAGTTAGTGGTAGTGTGAATAACAATTCTCTTTTTATTCCAAGAATGCTGAAGTAGGATGCTTCCTTGGGTTTGCAGACTGGTGCAGACCCAAGTCTTTTCCTTTGGGTCTTAAGATCAAGTTTTCTCCTGGCTGTCAGCAACAATAGAAAATCTACATCCCAATTACGCTCATATGACCTTTGAGCAGGGCAGATATTAAGCTTCATTGTCACTACTGTGGGTATCACTGTGAATAGTACAGTAAACATTAGGGATGCATATGGATACATTATTCAGAAACGCACAGATAATTTGTTTCAATCAGATATTTTTTCTACCTGAACTTTTACGATATTAGTTGTAAAAAGTCAACAAAATGTCAATGACTGGCATTTCTATGTTTCTTCAAAATTATTCATTCCAGCGTGGATGGCCTTTGATTTCACTAACTACTCATTTCAGTCACCACAATTTTTTTAAAAAGGAATCGCTATATTCTGCAGCTGATCCACCAAGGTAACAGACGCCGGCCTGAGAGCTGACCTTTCCCGGGTGTCACTCTCGGTGTCATGTCCTGTCCTGCCTGACCCTATAAAAGTAACTAATTAGTGTTGTACAGTAATAATTCATGTTCTCCTAGCAAACTGCACAGTAACATTAATATAAACATAATATCACAAATATCACATCATTAGAATTTAAGATTATCACCAACCAACTGAAGGGTATTTTTCTATATAACTACTATTTCCAATGCAAAACTGAATTTTTGATTTATATATCTTTTCATCAGATAGTTCATAAAACTTAGTGTAGTTAAGGAATAACAATTGTATTGCCAATGAATATTAGATTGGAAACCACAATTTTAATATGATCTTTTATATTAACCACCCCCCCACTTCTAGTCTTCTGTCCAAATACAGACAGAGAGAGAGAGATAATTTTGTTGGTTGAACAAATACAGATACTGCTAATGACATTGCAATGCACCAATAAGTAAATGTTGAATTATTTAAATGATGAAGTGCTGTGGAACTTTGCATTATTGTGCTTCACTTTTTCATTATGTGACATGATTTTCAAGTCAGAACTGTGAGGTTCTGTGTTTTACTTCCATGGGACCTTCATTAACTTTGTGCTGTTTAGTATGCCTTCTGCATATGTCTCCACCATCTGCCTACGGTGTAGGGCCACATTTTGTTTTCACTTCATTTGCCTCACTTAATGTACATCAGTCGAATCATTCATCTTCAAGCCACTTCTCTAGTAGCAGTTCTTGGTGAACCTAGATCAAATCACGAAAACAGGCCCAGGACCGCAAAGGTACCTAAGGGTGCCTATCACCTTCAAATTAATGATGTGTCCCTTCAGCTGTCACAGGACACAAATGCAATTACACAGAGTCAAACAGTAAGGAGAGCTTAGAGACTTCCAATCAATTAACTCCTCATTTTTGTTTTTTGGGCTGGGGAAAATATTAGCCTTGTATGATATTTGGCATATTTTTACTTTTAATATTAACAGATCTTTCACCAAAATAGATAACCAAAGTGAACTAATTATAATTTGATACTTTCATCATTATAAGAAGTAATGTGACACTATAACCTCAATGGTCAAAATGACTCATCACTCTGTGCTCTCAACCGAAGTTCAAAAACAGGTGAAGCCATCTCTGGTGTTGGCTAATTCATTTCAATTTCAAACGCTTGCAGCCCTGGCCCGTCCCAAAGACACTCCCACCTCTGGAAAAACTCTCACTCCCTCATACCGAGTAACATACCTGCTATTCGCTAATGTGAAGTTTGGTGATGGGGAGGGATTTCAAATTAGAGGCAGGGCTCCTTTGAATGCTGAGGAGTCAGCTAAGCCGGGTCTGACATCTCGTCACGGCGCCACCTGGCTGTAAGGATGTCTCGGCTTGTAAGGATGCCTCCGAAGGAGCTATTCTGGGTATTCGCCCCAGGATGGTGCCATGTGGAGATAAACATAACACCCATTACGCTGATGATTCACACTAATCACGGTTCAAAAACTGCTCTCAAAATCATTCTTCCTATGAATTTCATTCCGAAACAAGTGGGAAAAAATCAGCTTGGACTGGTAACTGGGATGGTACTGAAATTCTCATCTGCTCGTCTGAATCTCATTCGAAGGACTTACATTTTTCCCGAATTTCCCCCTGGAATCAATTAAGTTCATCTTAACCCTATTTTTTTCTGGTAACATTTTACTTAAGGCCATGTTTTTTAGTAATTTACAAACACATTCATAATGCATTCATAAAGCATAATAAACATGATACATTTACAATGCAGTACAAAGCATCCTTAATGCTTATAACAACCATTTAAATGCATTAAAATGGTATATATAGTACATTATTGACGAGAGCTTCTTAAGGCAGTCATAATGCATAATACACATGGCTGTAATGTGTTATGCCTTTTGATAAATATTTAGAGCCATGTTTATAATGCTTTATGAATGCATTATTATTTGTTATGAATGAGTTTATAAATTACGCAAAACATGGCCTTAAGTGAAGTGTTTTTCTTGGTTTTCTTGCTGATCGATGTGTCTGTATTCAGTTGGTTTGCAGCCACAAGGAAGTTTTTGGTAGCTACTCACAAATTAGACAACCAAAACTAAATTCTGTTAGATCAGAAAAGAAGTTTAAAAGGCTAAGATAATATGTGCGATAAGTCGTCTTTCATCTATCCCAGAGAAACTACTCCAGTGCAATAATGCAGCACTGTACTGGGTCTTGTCATTAAATAGAGGGTTTTGTGGGTGTCGATGTCAGCGGCCCAGCCAAGATGCAGTAACCAGTGTCAAATCCCTCAGCCAGGTAGCTCTTACAGGTAAGAGTCACGTTACCTGTTTGAAGTCGGATAAAGTCTGTTTACCCTGTTTCCTTGCCACTGAAACTCAGGTAGGGGTTTAAATAGCACAGACAAGTTGGTGTCCCATACGCAGAAGTGTATTAGATATCCATTAGAGTCCATGGCGGAGGGGACAGACAACACAAGTCGCTAACAGATGAGGTACAGCCGAGAAACAGCTGGAAGAGAATATGTGCAGCTGGAAATGTGGCTCCTAATGAGTCTGGGGGACGGACATCAACCATGTCTCCTGGATCACCGCCAAGAGGTAACGCAACTCGCATTTCCGTATCATAAATCTGATCTAGTTATATACATGTGACCACATCTGTTTTTAACAGAATATAGGTGCTAAAACCTGTAACACAATGCTTGCAGAGCTGACATATATAATTTTATTTGCACTTAAACGTTGCTGCACATTATATGAGATAACGTCTGTGTAGAAAATATTTTTATCTGTAAAATTACTGATCATAAAAAGCCAGGCCTTCGGAGATTAGTTAATTTAATGAAATTGTATCATACCTTCGGCTATAAAATTTTATAAATGAGATGAAGTGTACTCTTGGGTGCTGGATTGCCTGTGGCTTAACAATTGTAGAGTTGGGGTGTAAATCACTGGCCCCAAGGTAATTCGATTTGATAATGATCATTCAATAATTCAGTTAATCAATTATTTGATTATTTTGATAACCAAACCTAAATTCGAACCTTTTTTTTTGCACTGCTTTGATTGGCTGCTTTCACCTAGGCTAACTACCTGTAGTAATGCTCGGATGTGGAAATTTGCCGGCGGTGAAACTTGTTGAGCTGGAGTAGTGGAATGACGTTACATCTTTTTTATTCTGTGGAAAATGATCGATCTATGGGCTAGATTTCAAAATTAATTATAAACCTCTTGTAAGTGGTGAATGAACCAATGAAATCCTCCGTCATCCATTACAGAAAATGGATGATCATCCAATGCAGTCATCACAATTATTTTAGCAGTTGTGTCTTTAATTCGGGTTCTGCTAACTTTGAATTCTGATAATGTTTTAATATTGATGAAAAATAAACGTCCATGATTGAACAGATGCCAGTATCTTGATTTTCAATGAATTTCAGCCAATACCGATATATTAACCAATATATTGTCCATCTTTAAGGCTAACATTAATTTTTTATTAGCTAGCTAGTTTGCTACCACTGAGTTATCATTGCTGCTGTAGCTAGCAAAAATAATGACTTTTTTGTGCTACAAAAGAGGGCCAGTTCCCAAAAGCATCATACCGCAAAGATTATCTTAACCAACAGAGGAAGGGCTCTGCACTACAAAACAGGGGCGAGTTTATCAAAAGAGTCTTAGTGCAAAAATCATCAAGTAGTGCTTCCTTTTTGAATATTAATGAGGCTTCCCCTGTATTTTTTTTTGGAAATTTGCGTACTGTAGCGTTCTGCTACTTTGCATATCTTCCTGCATGCGAGCACAAAAGCACACAACCCTGAAGTAGCAGTAATCCCCCCCCCCTCCCAAAAAAAATCGTGCATTGATGCAGTTCAATCACAACCTTAGTAATCCTTTTATCACAATGCATCAATGCATCTCTACAGTCCTACCATAGATCCACAACACGATAGTGGAGGTTAACAGGTTCTGCATTGTACAAGTTCTAGATATATGGTTAGAACTTAGAACATGTCAAATTTGCAGTGTTGTACATTATCAATAGTTCAATCATTGTAATATAGTTGTAATAATATAGTTAAACGCCAGACAGTGTTTGATGTTGCATTAATGATTATTACTTTCATTTTCAAGTAAGACTTTCACAGTCTGCGAGATTTCTCTCTGTTAGCGTGCCTCGAACGTATTTATGATCCTCCTCTCATAGAGACTTCAACATCCCAGTAGAGTCAATTCAGATTTTTGAGAAACATATTTCTCCTTTTCGTTCAACAGGATGGATTTTACATGGTGGCAATGGAGAGCAAGATGATGTTCTACCACCACACTAAGGGAGATGGAGATGCCAGACGATAGTTTCAGCTCAAGCTCTCCATAACCGTTCTGGTATCTTGTCTAACTGAACCCAAACTGTGGCTACTTGAAATGATGGGGCAGATGTTGGAGGATGTCACAGACGGCTTCGGCATGGAAGAACTGGAGTGCAAGATCTGCTTTTGCGTCTACACCCTGGGAAGCCGACGGCCTAAGGTGCTGGACTGCTGTCACCGACTGTGCACCAAATGCTTGACTAAGATACTTGATATGGCAGAGGGACGGTCCATCACCTGCCCCTTCTGCCGCTACCCCACCACCTTGCCGGAGGAAGCTGTGAGAGGCATCCCAGATGACAGCAACCTGGTGGCAGCCCTGACCATTCTGAGACGCGATAGACGGAACCTCAGCCAGAACTCCACTGCTGAGCTCCTCCTCAGCCCCAGGCACCTCGGCTCACAGGTTAACACTCCCATTTCGCACAGCTCCTCCAACTGCCTGGTCATCACTATGATGGAGACTACCCAAGAGCCAGCAAGTCCCCATCGCAATCCACTAACCCCTAACCCAGACTATAGCTCTCCCAGTCCCGAGTCTACAACCACTGTCTACCAACGCAGGTCCACGTTAGACTGGGCTTCCATCATCTGCCAAACCTCAGCCAAGGCACTGGTCTGGCTGTTTGGCCTGTTCTACATCAGCTCCCTTCCTCTAGGTGTCTACCTGCTCATAATGCAGGAGACAATGCTGGGGATCCTTTTGGTCAGCTTAGTGCCTACAAGCCTGGTGATCTTCATGGTTTATGGTCTGTGCCAGGACTTGTGTCAGAGGTTCTGGGACTGCATATCATCCTAACACCATACAATAAATATGTGCATGACAGCGTGACAATGAGAAACTACTGACTGTGGTCATTGTATCATGTTGGAGTTGATAATAACATCATGATTATCATATTTGGAATTATGGACTTGGTGACCAGTGGAGGATAATCACCAAGGGCGTTGCTTTGGTTTGAACACTGGGGGCTTGAGGTCTCCACCCATTTAGAGGGAGACATTATTATTGGGGGCTTTGTATCAGCCGGTTTTGATTATTGCGGGAGTTAGAACCCCCCTGTAAAGATAGGGAGGCTGTCCCTTTGATCTGAAAGTTGCTGGTTCAAACCCCCAAGCTGACGTTTGACCATAGGGCCCCAGTGAAAGTCCCTTAACCCAGAACTGCTGCAAGATCAGGTTGACTTTGCCTTCCCATTAGTAGCTTGCTTTGGATAGAAAAATATATAAAACATAATTCCCAGTTCAAGATGACCATACAAAATAAAAGATTTATGATTATATTAAAACCCATTAGAAATTTTATTTTTTGCGCTTCGATTAAGAAAAAAATTGCCAAAATATTTAAAGACCTCGTAATTTTACTTCCCCCTTTTGTATAAATAAATTTCCCAAACCACGGGAAAAAATGTCCTGTCATACATTCATAATGAAATGCTGAATATATGTATATACCATTTGGTCTGATCCCACAGGAGAGCCACTGTAGCACAAATTGCTGAAAAAGTTAATGCTGTTTATGATAGAAAGGTGCCAGAACACACAGTGCATCACAGCTTGCTGTATATGGAGCTGCATAGCTGCAGACCGGTCAGAGGGCCCATGCTGACCCCTGTCCACCGCCAAAAGCGCCTACAATGCAATACACCTATACTGGCCATGTAAGGGTCAGAACTGGACCTTGGAATAATGGAAGCGATGGCACCAGGATCCACTATGGGAAGAAGGCAAGCTGACGGAGGCTGTCTGATGCTCTGGACAATGTTTTGCTGGGAAACCTTGGCTCCAGGCATTCATGTGGGTGCTATTTTGACACGTACCACCTACCTTGCAGACCAAGCATACCCCAGTATATTCCCCAGTGGCAGTGGTGTTTTTAAACAGGTTAATGCTCCCTGCCACACTGAAAAAACTGTTCTAGAATGGATTGAGGGACACGAAAAAGAGTTCAAAGTGTTGACTTGGTCTCCAAATTCCCCAGATCTCAGTCCGATGGAGCATCTGTGGGATGTGCTGGACAATAAGTCCCATCCATGCCGCCCCCACCTCACAACTTCCAGGACTTAAAGGATCTGCTGCTAACGACTTGGTGCCAGAAACCACAGGACACCTTCTGAGGTCTTGAGGAGTCCATGCCTCAGTGGGTCAGAGCTGTTTTGGCGGCACGAGGGGGACCTACATAGTATTAGGCAGGTAGTTTTAAAGTTATGGCTGATTGGTGTATATGTTCGATGCTATAACTACTTATAACACAAAATATACTGCTGAACTGTTATGTCTATTTGTGACTGTGTGTTACTGTGTATTTTATTACGCTGGGCCAATGTCTAATCTATCAATGGACAAAAAAATATAAATGAATAAACATTTCATATTAAACATAAGTATATATATATATATATATATATATATATATATATATAATTATGTTAATGCTATATTTATAGGAAAATAATAATAACACATTAAATATGGATATAGCTACCTTGTGTGTGTGTGTGTGTGTGTGTGTGTGTGTGTGGTCCAGGTATACATTACATCGTGGGGACCGAATGTCCCCATAATGTGATTAAAACCTATTATTTTGACATTGTGGGGACCATTTTTTTCAGCCCCCACAAGGGGAGATTCAATTTTATAAAAGTCCTTCACTGCAATCAAAAAACTAAAAATGCCAAAAGTCTTGTTTTTTGTTTGGTTACTTATGGTTAAGGTTAGAGCTGGGTGGGGGTTAGGGTTGGGATTAGGGTTTTGTCCATTTCACTAATGAGAAATCAGGGACAACTGATGACTATAAAGCACTAAATACTAAAACATGTTAGTATTTCCTGGATACTAATTAATCCACAGAATAACTACAATAGAGACATTGTAGAAATATTTATGCTCAGTTCTTGTTTGTGCGACTTATCTTGTTGGGACCCACTTTCATAATTATAAAATAATCTATAGTGTCGCAGAATTGAGGTGGTGTATAAAATCTGCTGGGGAGTCCTTCCTCCAGCTGCTGCAGGTGGCTGCTTTTCGAACCCCTGGCCGCACATCCATCTCCTGCAGCACGTAGGACAGCACAAGTGATTTGTGTGGGAGCAGCAGGGATGAGAACTAGAGGAGCAGGTGCCAGATGGATTTTGATTTCAGGCAGCTGGCAACTGAGTATAAAACAGCACTGGACACAGTTAAAAAGCAGAGAAAATCAAATAAGAGAAAAATGTGTCTCTTGTGAGGTTTCATTAGAAATATAAGACTGTCTATACACTTCAATAACATACACGTTCAATAATGTATGCTTTCAATACCTTAAACAATGCTCTTGGCACACTTTGTATAAATGTGTCATGGGAAATAGGGCATTCTTTGAAATTATTTGTGATGAATCGATCATTTGCTGTTCTAAAATTGTACCAGAAGAAAATAAAATGTATCATTCTACGGAATGGCTCGCTAATCAGCCACACATCTATGAGGCAGATATTTACAGTGGCAATTTTATGCCATGAATTTTATTCGTAGAACAGCAAGTTTTGATTTGACACGCTCCTGAGATATTTACTTTCCCATTCCAGGAAGCTAATGCTTGGTAAAAGTGTGGAATAACAATTAGTAAATGAAATAGTAAGCAGAGAAGTCTGTTTCAGGTTACACTGTGTAGAGCCATGAATGTTTAAAACAGCTGAGACCATGCCAGATAAGTAAGGTCCTATAGAAGAACCTGGTCAGGGACTGACTTTTACCTGGAAACCTTTAGGATTTCACGTACTATTTACGTTTAGTGTCAATACTGTAGACATTTTTGTAATTTGATCTCACATTAAATATTGTATTGTAGTACAACGTTTAGCATTCCTAAATACAAATATGTCTAAAAGCAATCGGTTATACACTACCAAAACAGCAAGATACTGAACGCAAAATCAGTATTATACAAGGAAATATCACAAGTCTTCACTCCATTAATTTTACAATGGGCTTCCATGTCCCTTTTTCTGATGCACAGACTTACAAAGATTGATCTGGAAAAGCAGAAACTGACAATAATATGAGATTTAGGAACCAAAAGATACAGATTCAAATATGAGTTGAGCTTTCTGGTGATTAATGTATACATTTTGAATTTTTTATTTCTATATCATGTGGTATATATGGATAATATGCTTAAGTTTGTGCCGTCGGTGTCACACCCCGATCGTCCGCTCCTCTCGTGTGCCACGCCCCCTCGTTAACCCCATGTAAACACGGGGAATCCACATGGGGTTAATGAGGGGGCGTGGCACATGAGAGGAGCGGACGATCGGGGTGTGACACTCAGTATAATTTAGAATATAGTTTTAATAGCAAATCACATTGCAGTGCAGTCTTGAAAATATCATATACACAGTAAGGTTATGTAACTCCAAGTATCACATGGGCCAGATGGATGCCCCCTGGTGGACATCATTCAGCACTTTTCAGCAGCATCCTGATTTGGGGTTTTATTTCAAACTGTTTGTTTGTTTGTTTACAGTACTGTTTGATAGTGACTGATAATCACTGCCCTAGCCCTACAAATAAGTATCACTGCAGTTTTATCCCAGAAATCTGCCATTACCCTGACCTTGGTTTTAGAATAAAACTCAGCAGGTTTTTCCATGATTGGTCCACACTTCTTTTAATGATATTATACGCAGTCAGGTTTTAAATTATTATTTCACATAAGTGAAATGTTAAGTAGTCATGGAATTACACCACCTTCCTGTGTTACCATTATGATATACAGTACTGTGCGGAAGTCTTAGGCAGCCAAAAGAAAATGATGTTTAAATGATCTTTATGTTGCTGTAAAACTATGATAGTATGCCTGTCAAAGTGTGTCAGCTTAGCCATTTGAAAACCTCTCCTAATGTCACTCCAGCATTTGTAGCAACCATCCAATACATCCATGTATTTTTTGACTTGGCCACTAGCACTGATTATAGCTAATCAATATCTCATTGACTTTTTTAACTAATTAAATTAATTGAGTGAGCTGGTGGTGAAATTTACCAAATACATGGAATGGCTGAGGTGCCCCTGAGGAGAGGTTTGGAACCTGAAGCAGTGATCATCTCGCTATCCAGCAAGACATCAGGAACATTTTGGAGAACAGAAGAAAGCCTTACTAGTTTTTATTGTGCTATTCCTAATTTGCATATGTTCTAATGCTTAAATGGCGTTTTTGTTCTTACTACCCAGCCAAACAGCTTTAAACGTTTCTTTTGACAGCCTCAGACTTCTGCATAGTTCTGTATATATAGGATGCCCTCTGCTAGCTATGTGGTATCTGCTCAGACCTTGCTTAACAAGACAAGTGACAAATCGGTGTTCAATCCCAGCTAGTAATGTTCATATTTTTGTGTGAATCCTCCATGCCCGTATCCCCGAAAACAGAAAAATGGTCTTCAGAAAAAAAAAAAAAAATCATCATGTTTCCTTTCCCCATGATATATTATGCATTTATAGCCATTTCCAATCAGTCTAATGTATTCTTCTGTACAGACAACATGCTATGTTGAGGTCAGCAGAGAATATGGGTTCAAATGGACACAAAAAACAACCATCACACTTTGAATGCTGCATGTGAAATTGTGCCTAGTGTTTCAGTAAAACTATAGATCTTCTAAAGAAAGAAAGACGAGAAATACCACAGAAAAAAAAAAAATTCTGCACCCAGAAAATTACAATCATGTTTACATTGACATTCAGCAATTACTACACCTCAGGAACCAAAAACTGTCAAGGAAGTGAAAGCACTCTGCAACTTCCTATTACACTCCAGTGCCAGGTACTGACTGACTGTTCTATAATTTATTTCATTTACTTTTATAATGCTGCTGCCAGTTCTATCCTCTAAGCCTTCTTTTGTTCTGTTGATGCCCGTCTAGGCTTTGTAGGACAGAAGCGAATTTCTTACACTCCAGGATTTTCTTTAATTTTTCAAAATTATGTGGAGGGCAGGCCTAGATAGCTTAGCTGTCAATCTAGCTTCCGGGAAAAATATATTTAAGACTGTGAGGTACAGCTCAGTTAAATCCTTCCATTACATTTGGTGCCATTTCAGGTTTTTTCCAGTAGATGCTGATATGGTCCCAAATACTGTATCTGTATCCTTAAATGATATCATAATTAATAAATTTATTTCTTGAGAATTTATGAGTGTGTATGAGGTTATTCGTTTGTTTTAGTGAAATTGTAAAGCTAAAAATAAGACATCAACTCATCATGCTTCAACCCAGTTGAAAAGGAACTTGGGTTTTATGTAAATATACATATTCTTTCAGCTTCGCCTGACTTACGCGGCACCATAGATCAATACTTCCCTTAAAAGTGATGATGGACATAGACATCAACTCATTTGAGCTGTATTGGTTTTTGGAAGCAGGTCCAGAAAGTACAAATCCAGACCAAGGTTTTGTTTCAACCATCCAGTTGAGTCACAGTCACAGTGCTCAACTGGTTGGTTGAACCAAAACCTTGGTCAGGATTCGTACTTTCTGGACCTGAACTATCCAACTCTGGATTTGATTATATGGCTTGTACTCATCGTGTTGGTGGTACCAATTTGGGACCTGAATTTTCCACCTCATCTGGGTTGTGGGTTTGAACCTTATCTGCCACAGATTATATATTTCCTCCATTACATTGGCTTCCTCCTGTGGCTCAAACACATGTGATTTAGTCTCATTTCTGAATGGACTGGCACCAGTGCCAGGTTTCCTCATACCCTTTGCTGGCTGGGATGGGCTTCAGTACCTTCCATTTGTTTTCAGTATGT